GCTGAAGTTCTTGGAACTTCTTTTAAATTTAAGTTATTTCAAAAAATGTTAACGGAACTGCTCTGAGGTTCTTAGTTCTATTCTGAAGTTCTGAAGTCTATTCTGAATCTTCTCTCAAGTTTTTCCAGTTCTCATGAATCTTGTTGTATCGCCTGAATTTAATTGAATTGTCCTAAAAATGTGTAAGCTCCCGTGAACTTCTGAACTTATGTGGAGATCTGAATAACGTTCTTAACATCTCTGAAGTTCTCTGAAAATCTGGGAACTTCTTAAAATTTTCCGCTAATTTGCGGAGACTAATGGAACTGAACTCCCCCTGAAATTTCCTTAATTTTAAGAGCTAAACTTCTTTGAAATGCTCCCGCATTTTGCTAATGTTCATGAAAGTTCCTGAAATCTCGGATCTTCCCTTAAGTTACATAGAATTCTATGAAGTTCTCGAAATGTTTCTGAAGATCTCTGCACTTCTGTGAAGTTTTCGAAGATTTTCTGAAATTTCTGGAACTTCTTTAAGCTCCCGAATTTTCCCTATAATCAAAACGAACTAATTAATATAGTTCTATGATTTTCATTGAAGTTCATGGAACTGGCCTTAAATTATCGACACTTATTCAACTTCTTCAATAGTCTAGACTTTCCTGATGTTTTTAAAACTGCCCAAAAGATTTATGAATTCCCTTGAAGTTCTCCAGACAGCCCTGAATTTCTCAGTATTTTGTTAAATAGCCCACAATTTTACTGAAATTAATAGAATTGCCTTGAAGTTTTCACAATTTTAATAAACCTTATAAACGCTCAAGAAACATAGCCTTAAATCACTAATTTTTCCTGAATTTATCTGAACACCCCTGAAGTTTTCTACGCCAGCCTGATGTTCTCTAAATTTGCTTAATGTACCGGTAGATTTTCTGAGATCTATCTATATTTATAAAAATGAATTTCTGTCTGTCTCTCTGACTATAGAAATATATAGACTCGAAAACTACCGAACCGATCGGCGTGAAAATTTGTATGCAGGGGTTTTTGGGGCAGGGAAAGGTTCTTATGATGGTTCGAGACCCCTCCCCCCTCTGTAAGGGGGGCTCCCATACAAATGAAACATAAATTTCTGCATAACTCGAGAACTAATCAAGCAAATGGAACCAAATTTGGCAAGTGGAGGTCATAGGGGTAGCCCCTTAGATAAGAGGGGGGGGGCTACGTACAATATAGCATGTTTTTTTTAAATTGACACATAAACTCAAGCTAATATTGAATCCCGAGCAAGGCCAGGCACACTCAGCTAGTATATTCATAATTCCCTGACGCTTCTAAAGTTTTTGGGTCAACCATAGAATTCTCGGAATCTCCCATAATTCCACGGAACTCCTTGTAAGTTGCTGCAAATTTTCTTTAACTATCTGATCGTCCTCAAAGTAGTCGGAGCTTCGCTGAATATCATGGAACTATCTAAAAATATCTAATATTTGAATTTCTTGAAGATATCACCTTTAAAATACTCTCACATTTTCTAGATGATCATATATATTTTTGGAGTTCCGGAAATTCTATCAGAGCTTTGCTGAAATTTCCGGAAATTCACTGAATTTATCGAAACTTCTTTAAATTCCTTAAAATTATTTGAACTATCCTTTGATTTTTGGGAGCTTCCCTGAACTTCTCAATTCTATCGATGACCTCGATTCTGCTCTGAAATAAATGGAATTTTCGTAACACCTTTAAACTTCCCAGAAATTCTCGGGATTTCTGTGAAGTTCCTGAAATATTTCAGAAGTATTCATAAATTCTCTGAAGGTCTCTGTACTTCCCTGAAATTCTCGGAACAGTTTAAAGGTTCTTGTTTTTGTTTCAACACATCATGGTACTATCGTTAAATTTTCTAAACTCTCTTTTATAAATCTTTAAACAAGTCCAAAAGTCTAGTTTAAATATACGAGGAATAAGATCTTTAAAATTCCCCAACGATCTCTAGATTTAGCGTTGGCGTTAATTGCTGTTGTTGTTGGTTTACCAAAAACATGTTTTAAAGTATTTAAAAAATAGCTTTCTTATTATTAACCTGAAAATCATGCGTTTAAGTTTTGGTAAAACCTGGAAAACTCAGGGAACTTTATTTAGCCAAATGAGTAGAGTAGATAGAGAAAGACGACGTCAAAAAGCAAAACCCCTTCGAATTGTTCGAAAATTAGTAGATGCACCGACAAATGTTGATCTAGCCGAGTTATTAACAAAAGAGAGAATCGATAATCGCTGTTGGGCCCTTATGATTCTGAACGTTAGATCTTAATGATGATATTACTACAATCGTAACACTACGCCTACTGATCAACTAGGACTGAACATCTCCAAGGGAATCTAATTCATATTGTGCAGAATTTCAAGCTAGTTTGAACATAGTTCCTAAGATAATCCATAAGAATTTTGAGGGAATTTCAACGAGTTTTAGGAGTTTAAGGATTTCAAATAGGAGGATGCACAGGGAATTTTGAGCATAAATGATATACAGTACATTGTCTTTTTGTCAGTACCATCTGAAGTTTAAGGCTGACAAAATCGGGGATTCCGCTTGGTTTTCAGCGCTGCAACCAAAGCTGAACCTCCATATCTCAGTATCAACGTAAATACACTAGCCAGGAGCCGTCCCGAGATGTTCGGTATGATTCTGGCTACCGCGTTGATGGCCTTCGCATTTCAACACGCACTTCTAGTTTATTACGTGCTACCCAATGGTAATGTCTGACCGCTGCAGCGCTTTAAAGTTACTGATCAATACCACCTCGCTTTTGTTGTGGGCTATTTGCAGCTTCGCTCAATGCATTAGGTTTCCAATCATGTCGCCAACATTTCCATCTATTCCAGCGTCTTGCCTGTTACCGTAAGACGACGTCGTCCGCAAAGCCAACGATCTCAACTCGTTTGGGTAGCTTCAGCGTTAGACAGCCGTTTTAAATCACGTTCCAGAGCATTGGCCCAAAGATGGAGCCTTGTGGAATTTCTGCTGTGATCCTAGTCGATCTCTGTCCCATATTTGGATCGTAGATAAGAATCCGGTTCTGGAAGTAGCGTCGGCCTCCCAGCTGGAGCTGTTGAACGCATTGTTGACGTCGATCGTTATCACAGCGTAATATCGATCTCCTCTCCACTTCTGTTTCGACGCCTTCTCGGCTCTCTAGAATTGCATCCACTTTAACTCTTCCTTTTAGAAATTCGAACTGCCTCTCCGACAATCCTTGCTCACTATCCGTGCATTTCGTCAGCCTGTTTAGGATGATCCACTTCAAGAGTTTTCCGAATGTATCCAGCAGGCACTGCTACGAGTTGCTCGTTGGTGACTTCGTCGTTATCTCGCTCTCCGTCTCCGTACGATGTAGGTGGCCAGGTTGTTGGATCGTGCTTCGAGAAAAGTTCTTCCACGATGACTTTCAGGTTCTTTAAGCACATTTTAGCGGGCATGACTTGACATTTGATCTTCGTCATCATGACACGGTGTGCGTCGTTGGCAGCAGCTCCAGTTGATAGTTTGACTTGCTTTGCCCGACCCAGCTCCAGTTGATAGTTTGACTTGTGTCGACCCAGCTCCAGTTGATAGTTTGACTTGCTCTGCTTTATCTCTCGTTTATTGCTCGGAACATTCCTCTACGTTCCTCTCTGTCTGCTTCTGTTCTTGCTCTCTGAACACGTCTTGTGGCTATGAGACAACTAGCGCGGAGGGTGCTAATTGCCTCGTTGAAGCAGTAAGGTGGAGGTTCCACTGCAGGTCGCAAGTTCTCGTCCTCTGTACTACCACAGGATTCCGTTGGCCGATTGGCCATATCGGTTTGCCTGGTGGTCACTATGGGTATATCCTTCATAAACTCTCCAATTCATGTTTTCCACCAGCAGCGGACTACAGTCCGCATAAAGTGACGTCGATAATGGATTCCCGACCATCTCTGCGAAAAGTGCTGGTGGTGCCTTTAGAACAGCCTAATTTCCAGCTTCGCCAGAGCTTCCAGCAGAATGTGCCCTCTTGGGTTGGTACATCTGTTTCCCCAGACCATGATTACCAGTCTTCGTCCGATCAGCTCTTCGGTAAGTCCAACCAGCGTCTCGTGGAATTGCTCCACCGTCCATCGGGTGCGTAGCAACAGCATATGAATATTCCGTTAATTTTGGCGATCACGAAACCTTCTTCTTGAATGGGGTATCTGCCCATAATTTGTATTGCAGCCATCCCAGCTCTATCCGCCACCTAGTTAGCTTTATCGGGAGGGACTCGATACAGCTGTTCAGTATCGCAATAATTGAGGTTTATTTGAGATACCTCTGTTGTTGTTGCGACAAAACAATTAAGTGTCATTTGGAGCGAAATGCTTGAGAATTCATGCTTAAAAACCAAAAAGTTCAGCACTGAATTCCGAGATTGTTGGTGAAAATTTATAAGAATTTCAAAATTTTCAAAGATATCCTGACGAAGGATGCATAGAGATAGTTTAGTTAATTCAACCACTGACAATTTTTCAAAATCTCGCGTACACAGAAATTTAAGACGCAAGATTAAGAAACAGTTTTGTTTATACTGTGACTTTTAGCTGTTGGCTAGTTAATCACTGCATATTGCTATTTGTTAAATCTCTTTTGCTTTTGGTATTGTTTTTATTTTATTTTGTAGCGAAATTTTAATAGAACTTAATTGCAGTACTGAGTCACGAATAGCAACGTCTACGGGTGCTTTCAAGAAAACTTCACCTGTAACGAATCAATCCCAGCATTCTCTCGTCATCACTGACACACACGCTCTCTAGAGCATTGGGATGCTGTATCTAAGTGTATGCATCGTACATACATATCTGCCACAGCCCACTCAGGTACCCATCGTATCTCTATAGTACATTCTGATCTGACTGACAGCACCACCGAACGACGACGGATACATGCATGGCGATAGGGCGGCGAACCAATTTATTCCACAACAATCAACGCTAAACTAGCCGAGCAACTCTGATCTACTTTATACTTACGTATGAATATTCATCTGTCCATTACTGCAATTGTTGTCTCGAATCCAGTTTCAGGTCCAGAGCTGCTGCACCCGCACAAGGAACTAATCTCTTGCACTGTCTCCACCTATATTTTGTATTTATTCTTGTGGCAATCTCCTGGGGGGCTAATTAGAAGTTGGCTGTGCTCTCTTGGCACACCACATTCACCCACACTCGGCCGCCGTTCTGTAGTAGCTGCCCTGCAGAAAGTGCTACTTTTCCCCCCGATAATTTATCACTTGTTTTGTATATTTTCACAATTAAAAATTTGAATGCATTTCGTATTCCAGAAACCTGCACTGCATTTCCATTCTACATCTTGTATCGCAACTTTTTGCACTGTTGCGTTCGATTATTCCGGCCGCCTGGCGGTGGGTTGGCTGCAAAAACCTGATTTATTGTGGCAAATCTCGCCCAATCAACACTCCCTCTCCCTCCATGCGTTGTATATGTATGTATGTTGTGCTTCCTGCCTTGGTGGCTAAACTCCACTCAGCCAGCCACAGCACACACAATACACGAGAAATGGGTTACCACACAACACTGGCCAATCTTCACTATTCTTTGATTTATTTTCCAATGCCTTCACCACAAACTCTTCACCTTTGATTACTATTTTTTTCAACACTGCACTGACTCCAAAAAAGTGGTGTTATGCATCCGCTATTCTTCCACGGCTGCTTGGATTTACAGCAGAGCCATACCACATACATACACACGCACAGTAGCCTGCTTTGCTGGTGGAGAAATTATTTTTCTTCTTCTTGGATACCAATCGAAACTTTTTCGAACTCTTCAGCTGCCTCGAATCTCGGGCCACTGCCTTCGATCGGTCACAAAGCGCAACCCTGCCAAGTTCTCTAGGCTACCAAGACAAATATTTAGCAAATTTCATTCATTACCACCAAAGCACTTACTATTTTTACCGCAGAAAAACCGATCCTACCAATCTTTTTGCATCACCTTTCTTCTTCTTCTTATTCGTTTATTTCCTATGTGTACACTCTCGCGGCAGCAATCGAGAAGAGGATGATGAGCCTCAACCCTCCTCTATATCCGCGACGGGAATCTGCTGGCTGCAGTGTGAAAAGCGTACCACCACGGTACCACCCCGCGACTCAGACGAGAACCACGACCAACCAGTCAGCACGAGTGCTGAGCGAGATTTGACGATTGAATCCACCCAGCTCCACACAGAACCACACAAGCCAGGCAGCAGCAGGGAGAGTCGATCGCGTGCTCGCTCGCCGTGTTTTGCAAAAGTGAGTGCACTCACTCGCAACGATGCGATGCTTTTCACTGCCAGCATAATGCTCTCGGTTTGCATGCTATTTTCTCACTGCACAACATTGAAGGAACTCAAACAATATAATGCTCCCTATGCTGTAGGAGTTGGCAGTAACTCGTCGGAAGGTTTGAATAGCGACGGTGTTGCTTTTCGTAGGTATGCTCATCGTCTGCAAAGGAAGAAAGATTCTATTTAAACTGTCGCGTAAATCTTCCGGCTAAACTTGCAACTAAAACTGATAAGATTTATCTATTTATTTTTTGATTTTGCGAGACAGGTCTTATGAAGGCCAAATCTCAAGTCTCAAGGTCACATTCCAGAACGTAAGTGGAACATGGTGATCACGTCAAATTATAATGTCTCAAATGAACCACATGCCCATGCTTGGCATGCACAGTTGTACACACCAATTGCTCATTTGTTAATAACTTTTCACTCAGTTGGTGAAAATTGTGTGTCTTTAAAGTAATTGATAGATTAGGATCATAGTTTACTATAGATCTGCAAAGAGTAAGTGAATCTTAGCATTTGAATCAACACCAATGAATGTCCGAGATGTGCAGCGAGCATTTCTCACTTCATTTTTACAACGCAAAAAAAATACAGTTGATTACTAGAATTAAAAACTACTTTTTTTTAAAGTATGTGTAACAAGCTTAAAGTCTATTCTATCTGCTTCACTATGCTTCAGAACGAATTATGTTTCGTCAACTGTGTGCAAAGTTATTAGCAAATGAGCAGTTCGTGACCAAAACTGTGTATGTCAAGCATGCACATGCCCCTAGACTCTCCATGCTGAATCGTGCCTCCCCCCCCTTTTCCATATCATTGCATGCAAAATAATAACCTAATGCAGGTTAATTTAATATGCCTAAATGAATTAGTTGCAATGATAATGATAATTATTTAAAATTAATATTTACCTATTAATATGATCGATATTGGTGATAAGTAAGTTGATTTTAACATCACAGAGTTTGACAATAGCGTGATGGTGTATTGTAATGATGCTGATTAGAAGAATCCTGGGAAAGCATCATCCAGAAACCTCTGTAATCCAGGACATTCAGTTGATCATGGTCACTTGAATCGCTGAGAGTATCTTCCGAGTCTTCGTATTCTGATTCCACCATTTCAGTGAACAGTCTTGTCGTGACTATTTTAAACTTCTTTCTATAACCTGCCGTGCGCTAATTTTTTATGTGGCTATCTACCTGTCTATCTAAAGGGCTTTCCTGATAATCCGTTATGATGGTTCTGTTTCTATGAAAATAAAATGATGTTCTATTCATCTATCATCTATAGTGATCCAGCGTGCAGATAGTTAATATCGTTGTCTTCTTCAACGCTGCATCGTATTCATCTAAAAAAAGAAAATCGTCACTCGATCAAGCCAAATTCAAAGGTAGTACATGCACAGACCACCATCAGACATAACTGTCTCAAGTTGTTCATCGAAAAAGCATTTAACGGTACATTTAAAAGTACCGTAGTTGGTAGTACCGCCACATGTGGCGCGCATAGTCAAATCTCTTGCGTTTGACGTTTACACACTACCGCCATCTGTTCAGCGTACAACAGCGTTTTACAGTGAGCAATATTCAATGTGTTATGTCTGTTTGTCTGTGGTATCTATGTGATGTCGCATCACCGACAAACCGACATGAAACTTAAACTTAACTCTTGATCGAGAATCCATAATGGCCGATTCAAATGTGCAGCGATCCCATCTGTCAAAACAATAGAGCTAATATACTATAGAGGAAGAATAGCGCTGGTGTTCCCTTTGTTCCGATGTTGAATAATACCGGGTACAGAACTGTCAAACTACATAGTTTTTTTCTCGCTTTTACAGTTGTGTCCCTATTAGATGTAAGGAAAAGATGTTTCGACAGCGACGGCAGCGCTATTCTTCCTCTATAGTTTATTAGCTCTATTGTCAAAACCATAGTATTCTTTTTATCTAGATAAAAATAATTTGTCCGGAATACATCAGACACGAACCAACTCATAAATTTTGTACACTTGTTCGTGGCTAGGATAAATATATTTCGCGAACACGGCGGCAGAAGCGAGGGGGGCGACACATCTAAATCTCAATACTAGATGCTCAAAAAATTTCACCCTAGCGAATCAATCTTCGAAAACTCTTCTTTCAGTTCTCGCATCTACTTGCATCTTTTTGCAGGAAATCTTCAGAATCGCCATTAATCTTCTTTCTATCTATTCTTCGATCTATTCAGCGTGCACGCAGCTACTCACAGTAAAACACAATCTTTCCTGCAACGTAGATAGAGTCGTCCCCCTCGGGCAGAAGTTAGTTTCGTGCTTTGATCAGAAATGTCATGGTAATTTTTATGGTCATTCATGTCGGTTTGTCGGTGGTCGCATTTTAAATGTTTTGAACCTAATAAATATGTTTTTTTTTTATTTTGCAGCCATTAGCCTCATCATAATTCTAAACTGCACAATTATTTAAATTTGTCTAGTAATTAAATTCCAGTAAACTTTTGGTTCGCTACATCACAACTAAGCATCTTTCAAAATGTAAAGATACAGACAAGCCCAAGGAGATTTTTTTAAACTCTGTATGGTTAACTGCCCCATTTCCGGCCTATAAAACACAACCCGCACTTAGTCTTTCTTAATCTAGCGCTATCAACCAATGTTGACGATAGACGTCTTGCCGCACTAGAAAGACTAAGTGCGGGTTGTGCTTAATAGGCCGGAAATGGGGTAGTTAATCCTACAGAGTTTAAAAAAATCTCCTTGGGCTTGTCGGTATTCTTTACATTTTGAAAGATGCTCAGTTGTGATGTAGCGAACCAAAAGTTTACTGGAATTTAATTACTAGCCAAATTTAAATAATTGTGCAGTTTAGAATTATGATGAGGCTAATGGCTGCAAAATTTAAAAAAAATGGCAAGATTTGATAAAGAGAAACCAATCGTTGAGATATTGTCAAAAGTCTAACACTGCTTCTAGACGCCAAACTCGGCCTACGGATTCTAAACTCAGCCTAACGCATTGAAACGCCATTGAAAGGCCAATGAATTCACTTCGGCCTATCGGAGGAAGATAAAAATTGATTCGGTTGGAGCGCTTCTTTTGTTTCTGGGAATAATAGGTGCAAACCTTCATACCACGCATTCTCATTGACTTCGTTCGGTAGCTTATTAACTAAAGTATCGTACCAAACGCATAATTGACTTGTTAACTATGAAATCATGGATTTATTTGAAGTTTTCTGCTCGATAGGCCCAAAATGGGCGATTAGACCGAAGCAGTTTTCTACCCTATTTGTTACAAATTCAAATTAAGGTCAATTTAAAGTGAAACCTTGAATTTAACGAAGTTCAAAAGTTCCGTGCGAAGAGCATGGAAATCGGAAGTGGTTATCACAATAAGGGGGACCTTTTCCTTCTTGACATTAAGCCGGGAATGTTTAGTCAAATTTTGCCTGGATGATGGATCATTCTCATCATCCGTGAGCATATCAAATTGATTGCTCAAATAAATTTCATGAGAAGGGGGACCAAGAAATTGCCCTTTTCTTTTTCGTTTAGGCGCCATGGCAGCACAACCAAGTTTCTCCACATCTACTTCCAAACAAATTACTATAAGAATCCGAAGCATTGAAGATGAATTTTCGAAATCGATAACCAAGCAGGATTACCTCGGGTAGGGTCCAAACAAGGATGGATGAGGAATTAGAGTCGAACAAGGTAGAACATTTGCAGGTGATATTGAGCACTGAAAAGTACTGTTTAAATTCCTCGGTGATGCAGCTCGATGAGTTATCATTATTAACCAGGCATAAAACGTAACAAGGACCAAGATGTGTTCCTTTGATTACCACAAAAATTTAATTCCCTTTGGTTGAAGTAGTCAGGATTAGGAATCGATGGTTGATCTTACATCCTGCAACGTAC